CGCTTTCAAAAGCGGAACAGAATGAGCTGACTCATTTTTTGACTAGTTGATGGCGGAACGGGCTGCCCACTTTGTCATCCTAGCATGGAGCATGGACTCGCTGGTGATTAATATAACGGTGGGCTATTAACTCAATTTGCTTTCGAGTAAATATTATTTTAAAATATATATATAGTATTTTTTAATATTGCTTGTTTTGAATTGTATCAATTTTTAAATTTTGATTAAAAACTGGATAAATGATAGGAGACACGAGACACGGACACTCAAATTTGCTTGCTTCGAAAAGAATCGATTTTTAAATTTTGATTAAAAATTGGATAAATGATAACAGACACGAGACACAGACACACAAATTTGCTTGTTCCGAATTGAATCGATTTTTAAATTTTGATTAAAAACTGGATAAATGATAAGGGATAACAGACACGTACGAGACACAGACAAGTTATTACCTATTACACTGACACATCACCTTTTTTGTTTGATTACGTACTTTCCTTTGTTGTGAAATTTCGTGTCTCATTATTAAAATTAATTTACATTATTTAATAATAATACATATTTTATAAATGCTAAATTAGCATTTTGTCAAGATTATGGGTGAAAGTGGGACGGACCGGCTTACAGAGCCTATGGTCTAACTTATATCAGGCCAGTCTTTACTTATTACATACAATAAAATAGAACACGCTCGAGCTTTTAAACAAACTTATTTAGAAAGCAAATCATAAGCTTTTATTAACATATCAGGCCTATAAACCTATAGGCCGACCTATATCATGTTATTTATTTTAAATAACATAAAATAATATTATTCATAATAGTACCAAATTGTGATAGCTCAGTTGGTGCATGAGAACTGAGTAGGTGGTGGAAGGACCTAAGTTTAATCCTCACCAATATCACCTTTGAGAGGGGCATTAGATCTGTATCAATCTCTACAATAACATCACAATCAACATTTAGTGTTGGAGGAAGAGTTATTGATGCTTATCGTTCTAGTTTGGCTGAAGATATCATCCAATCTTTAATATGTGGAGGAGATTGACTACGTAATAAGTACGACTTGAAGAAAAAACAAAAGACATAAATTTAATCAATTGAAATTATTTTTTAATTGAATTATATTTTATTAAATTTTAATAGAAATCTGATTTTATTTCTTATGTAGGAGGAACCAACATCTCAGCATGTAGTAGGGGCGTTCATCAACCGATCCAAACAGATTCAAACCGCGGTGAACGAACCGAAAACCCGATAACCGAATAAACCGAGAACCGAAAAAACGAAAATCGATTAAAAACCGCAAATTTTAATTGGATTGGATCGGTTTTTGGATGGGTTGATGAAAATCGATCCAATCTAAACCGATCCAATATATTAATTTCCCTCTACCTATTTGGGTATTTCCCTAATTATAGCCTAAAAATTTCTAAACCCAAGAAAAAATCTAGTCATCTCTTATCAACAAAATTTTATCTTTGTAGAGCTTCATATCTCATTGTCAAAATTAAAAAAATTATATTATTGTTTACTAATGCTTTTGTATTTCAAAAAAAAAATTACAAAGCCAATATATACGAAAGATGTTATTTGCACAATAATCATGAAATAAATTTTAAGATTTTCAAAAAACCGAAAACCGATTCAATCCAAACCGAAAAAAATTGGATTGGATTGGATTGGTTCGGATTTGAAAAAAAATCAAAATCGAATGGATGATTATATGATCAAACCGAAGGGATTAGATCGGATGGTTTTTGCTTCCAAAACCGATCCAATCCAGACCGCGAACACCCCTAGCATGTAGGATGTATTAAAAGGTATTTTGTTTCTTATTTTTTTTTTATTCTTTAATCTTGTATTTTGTTTTCTACATTTACAAATTGTTTGTCAACTTATGTAACCTTGGAATTGTATTTGAAGGGGGGAAAAAGATGATGAGAAGTTTTTGATTACTACAAACATTATGATGTGTTTGTTGGATTCATATAGTTATTTTGATTTACACAATATGGATTGGTTTGTTGGATCTGATGAAATATATATTATTTAATTTGAGCATTTTGCTTCTGAAAGTGACATAAATGCAGATTGTGATGAGTTGTTATTGTGATTCAAGATTTTGTTTAGATGTTGAAATTGTGATTTTTATTTTAACAATAAATTTTAAGTATTTTGTGAAGTTGATTCATGGTTGTGCTTGGAAGTTAAAAATTAAAATTAACATGTCAACAGGCCAGGACAGACCATTGATTTTTTTATAGATGGGTCAAGTCAGGCTAATAGTTATACCCATATTATACTATCAGGCCAGACCAATTAAAATATTTTAGCATGGATTTGACTTTTTCATGATAAAGCTCGACCCAACCCAGCTCATTTTCACCTCTAGTCAAGATCCTATCATCAAAAGAGATTAGAGTTCAATCCTAACTCATAAGATAAACTAACAAATAGCTTATTTATTTTCATTCAAGATAAAATCAGCTAGTATATAAGAAAATTCTAAACACACAAAATAACATTTTTTTTTTAAATTTTAATGGACAACAGATACCCTTCTCTTCTCTTTTCCAATTTCACCTATAGTACGTCATCTCACGTTGGGCTCATCTATAATAATTTGCTACCAACTTACAAAAATATCAAAAACACCAAGCAGTGGCAGACCCAGGAAAATTTATTCCTGTCCGCACACTTAGTGGTGGAGTTTACCTCCAAAAAAATACATTAAAAATAAAAGAATATAAAAAAAATTCAACTTAACATAAAAAAAATAGTAATCAAGAATAACTAAATTATTATAATGGAACAATTATCTTTTATACACATAAAAATATACGAGACCCATATAAGATTATGTGAAAATATGAAAGAAAAATAAAAATAAAATTTAATATACTTTTATATGTGTGTATTTTACCTTATAATAAGATGAAAAAAATTATATCCATTCCATTTTCCTTGGGCAGTATACGGATACAGAGACAGAGTTTTTTTTTTTATATATATATTGGGTTTGAGACTAATAAAAGCCTTGTGGTCGGACTTGAGAGAAGGCATATTATGAAGGGAAATAATTGTCTCATTTTACATGAGATAACTATCTCATGTTTCTCTCACATAAAAAATTATGACATCATTTTTTCTTTTTTCTTTTTTTAATGGATGGTGGGCTCCACCATATTATGTATCTATAGTAGGAGATACTTATCTCCTACAACATGAGAAAAATAGAACCCTATTATGAAACTCTTCTTATGTAAACAATTTTTTATTTTTTTCCAAAAGTTCATGTACTTGTGCGTGTGACTGGGTCCGCGAGTCACACCAAGTATATCAAGATACGAACCAAGGCTATGCTGCAAGGCATGCAACATGAACTCACCGGTGATTAGTACTAGGGTGGAATTATCCAAAAAATAATTTGAGGGTGGACTATTAACATAAATTTTTATTTATGCGACCTTTTTAAATACTTTCAATTTTAAATTTTAATTAAATTGATTCGGGTTGAACATCCCTAAATCATATTATTGTTAACGTTCCACTTGACAACTTACAAAGGGTGATTTGTGCAGTTCGCCATTTTGATTGAAGAATTTATGCAATGTAATGACTAATTTAATTTTTTTTATACAAAAGTTATTGCGAATGAAAAAAAGTTTAAATGTATTATAAATACATAGTTTAAATATGGGATATGGTCATATTATATTAGTATAAAATATTTTAATCTTAAATATTAATCTTACTTGCATTTAATTACTCATACAATTAATAAATTAAAGTGGTTAAATACAAAAAAATCAACTATAAAAATTTCATTTAAACTTGTTATTCTTTCATGGAAATAAGTTGATCTTTCTCTCTAAATTTACTTAAAAGAATATTATACGTGAACAATTTTTAAATCTGCACTTCCATAATTGTCGTAGCTTATATAGGAAAATTTTTAAGATACTCCTAGACTATGGTAGTCTTTTCATTAACTAAGTGATACATGATTTTTTTTTTTTTGTTCTCTTCAATCTCTCTTTCTCCTCCCCTCCATCCAATATTTTGTGCGCAACGCCAAAATAAATATGACCGGGCTATAACACAACAGACGTAGTGACGTACTATACATGTAACAAAAATTATTTACTTTCACGTGTCTTAATGTGCACGAAATGATGTTCACCGGGCTCCTTGCACCAATCACTTTCAACTCCGTGGACTAGAATAATTTCAATTTAAAAATTTAAGTTATCAAAAAATAATAGATTAATAATTTCAATTAAAAAATTTAAGTTATCAAAAAAATAATAGATTAATAATTTTATATTACATTTATGTAATACATCCCTCTAAATAATAATTTATTAAATTTAAAAGATTGATAATACACAAACTCATTTCTTAAGATGAAAAATTTAACATTATTTAATTAATTAATAATCAAAAAGGATAGAGGATCGAATTAATAATCACTTAATGATATAAATTATTATATAAAAAATCATTTCAACTTAAAAATTTAAACTATCAAATGAATAACATATTCATAAATTTGTATTATATTTTTTCAATAATATTTGAAAAATTCAAACCCAAAATTATATAAAAAGATAAATTGCTATGTCAGGAATCGAACACGACTAAAGCAACATGATATTATTTAGGAAAAAGTTTACCGATGCTGTTGTAATTTACTTCAGAATCATTTATGTTCCTGTTTTTTTTTTTTAATCACATATATCTATGTGTTTTATAAAAAATAAAAATTCACAAGAACGTATATGATAAGAAACATATTCTTCTTACAAATCACATAAGTATATATGATAAAAAAAAAAACCACATGATATAAATGATTCTGAATCAAAGTGATTATGAAGTAAAAGGAGAGGCATTCCTCAACTTTTCCCTATTATTTATAGAGCTCAACTGCTCCTAACCAAGTTATCCTACTCAAATCTTTCCTTCTTCCACTTGCTCCGATGGACATGGACATGCACATGCACAAGCAAGCACATGTAGTTCTCCTTTCAAGCCCAGGCCTTGGGCATCTAATCCCTACGATCGAGCTTGGCAAGCGATTCGTCCTTCATAATAATTTCAAAGTCACCATCCTTGCCATCACTTCCAATACATCAGAAGCAGAAACCCATATTCTAAAATCAGCCATGACATCCGAGCTCATCGATGTGATTGAAATCCCATCAGCAAACATATCTGGCCTTATTGACGCTGACGCTGGCTTGCTCACTCTCTTGTCCATGATGATGCGTCAAACATTGCCTGCTATCAGATCTGCGCTTTCTAACATGACCGTTCGTCCTTCAGTGCTCATCGTCGACTTATTCGGTACAGAGGCTTTGTCCATAGCCCAGGAACTCAACTTGCTCAAATACGTATTTTGTGCTTCACACGCTTGGTCTTTATCGTTGACCATATATTCTCCCACGTTGGACGAACAAGTGGAAGGACAATACGTGGACCAAAAAGAACCGCTAAAAATCCCAGGGTGCAACCCGGTTCGTCCTGAAGATGTGATCGATCCCATGCTGGACCGGAATGTCATGGACTATCAAACCTATCTAGGCATGGCGAATGGGATCCCAAGAGGTGATGGAATACTGATAAACACATGGGAGGAGCTTCAACACAAAGACCTTCAAGCACTGAGAGATGGAGATTTATTGGGTCGCATCCTGAAGGTTCCCGTTTATAGCATCGGACCTATAGTAAGGCAACACGTGTCAGAAACGAACCCAACTAGTGAGCTGCTGGTGCAGTGGCTTCATAAACAACCGAGTGAGTCTGTGATTTACGTGTCGTTTGGAAGTGGAGGAACGCTGTCGTATGAGCAGATGACCGAGTTGGCTTGGGGTTTGGAGTTGAGTCAACAAAGATTTATTTGGGTGGTGTGTCCCCCATCCGGAGGACCTGCTGGCTCTACCTACCTTACCACCGCGTATAGCGGCGGCGATCAGCTGTCAAATTACTTGCCGGAGGGGTTCATGTCTAGAACAAACAAAGTGGGCATGTTGGTCCCACATTGGGCCCCACAAGTGGACATATTGAGGCATCCCTCTGTAGGGGGCTTCTTGTCGCATTGTGGGTGGAATTCCACTTTAGAGAGCATCACCAATGGTGTGCCCATGATCGCTTGGCCGCTCTATGCGGAGCAGAAAATGAATGCCACGTTGTTGGCAGAGGAGTTGGGCGTGGCGGTGAGGCCGAAGGTGTTGCCCTCAAAGAAGGTGGTGGACAGGGAAGAGATAGCCACTATGGTGAGGCAGATTATGGTGATTAAGGGCAACCCCATAAGGGAGAGAGTGAAGCAGGTCAAGCACAGTGCAATGAAGGCTTTGTCGGAGGGTGGTTCATCTTACGCTGCACTGTCTCAATTACCTACTACAACGTGATGACTCAAGTGAGGTAGACGTGATCACTGGATGCTTTCATGTCTCTTTTAAATATGATTATGATGTGGTGTGATAAAGGAGTTATCCTTCACCCAGTTACCTCTTTCATGGGAGGAAATAAATAATCTCATGTGTAATTTAATATCCGGTTATGTGATACTCTGATACAATTTTAAGGGTATGTTTTGCATTATCTCTTTTTTAAACTAAAAGCTATTTATATGCATAAGTTAGGTCAAACAATTTTTGAGAAAAGCTCTTATAACGGAAATTTCTTTTTTTTATAATGAAAAAAAAAAGCTGAAAACTAAGTGCCTGTTTGGATCCTCTTATTTTTAAGCTATAAGCTACTTAAAAGTATAAGCTAGGCCAAACAAGTTTTGGGAAAAGCTCTTATAACAAAAAGTTCTTTTTTTTTATAATGAAGAAAAAAGCTGAAAACTAAAAGCTCCTAGGAGGAGCTTTTTTTTAAGCTCTTATCTATTTTTCTTGAATTGTGTGCTTTTTTTAAAATGAAGAGTGATAAAGAGAGAGAGAGATAATTTTCTTAAAATATGTGTTTTTAAGTAATTTTTAAGCTAAATTTTGTATGTAATTTTCAAACAGCTTTTAGCTTCTTTTTTTAAGCTCTTTTTTTTAGCTTTAGCTTATAAGTAGCTTCTAACTTAAAAATAAGAGGATCCAAACAGGCTAATTTAAAAAAGGTATTTAAAAAAATGTATTCCTTTAATAATAAATTAAATAAAAATTATTTAATAAAATTTAAATCAAGTTTAATTTAATAATATTTTTTTTAAATGTTGAACGGTATATCATTATCTTTTCACCTCTTCTTTTATTTATTTTTATTTTTTTAAATCGTAATGCAAGAAAAAAGTTATCGAAGGCCCGAAATTCACAAAACAGAAAAAACACAAAACGCAATGCAATACATATGAACATATCGCTGCAACTGTTTGGCATCACACCGAAAATAAATCTTATAAACTTCATATATTTGTCGTCATCATTATTTTTTTTCCGTCAATAATTTTATGAGATCACCTTTTTTGTGCAAAAATAATTTATCATTACTTAAAAATATTCTTAGAACAAATTACTTGTTTAGTGTGAGATGGATCGACTCGATAGTTGTTGGGATTCTGATTGTGATCATCTGAGATAATTGACAGTGGTTGCTTTAAGTGCTTGACCGGTTGCTTTATCGGATGTTATGGTGGGACGGCAAGTGACAGTTCATACGCAGGGGCAACCACACTTAAGTCGGGTGTTATGTAAAGGTTGAGACTTAATATATAGAATCTGTAGATGTGATGAGTAAGGACATACATTAAACCATTTATATTCAATAAGAGTGCTCTGTTCGTGTGTGTTGTATATGTTAACTGAGTCTAACAACTTTTTAAATACTAATGCGAAAATGGCAACAACCTTAAGCAAGCTGCAAGCGTGAAGAATACACTCAAACGAATAATATATTTATTTTATTGATTAATTCTTAATTGTTTTCATTCATTTAACACTAAAGTATTTTTCAGTAAACCCTTAATTACTATTAGTAAATTGACGTTATAATTAACATTAAGAAACTTAATTTAGTCTCCAAGTATTATTTAGAGCATTCTATATTCAATTTCAATTATGTAAATGTTCTTTAATATATATAAGCTTAACTTGAAAAAAGATAAAAATAAAAAATAAAAAAAACTGTGGATGTACAAACTAAGGGCTTGTTTGATTATGCTTTGATTTTTTTTTGTTTTGAAAATTATTTTGTAAAATAGTTTTTAAAACTGATTTTCGGAATAAAAGAAGAAAAAAAATATGTTTAGTAAATTTATTTTAAAAAGAGTTTTAAAAGTTAAAAAAAAAATTGCTTGATTATTTATTTCTAAAAATATGTTTTTCAAAATAAAAAAATAGAAGTTAGTATTTTTTTTAGCCAGTGGCCGAGCCACATACAAGTTAGGAGTGTTTGAGTCCAGACTAAATTTTAACAAATTTTACATGTTATATATAATTATATAATTAATTATAATTTAGCTCGGACTAAAATTATAATTTGATCCGGGTTAAAATTATAATTTTGCCCTGTCTAAAAATTAAAATATATTTGATGAGAAATTTAGATAGATTATATTAGGTTATGTGTTGTTACGTGACCTAGATAAGAGTTTTCAGAGTAATAGTACTTTTATATTTTTATTTTGTCTTCGGACATGAACGAAAGCATGATTATTTTATTTTTAATTTATTTATTTTAGTTCTTTGATCATATATCATAGTAAGGAAAAGAAATACCAATAAATTTTTTAAGAATGCTATATGGTTTTTTAGTGGGTCTAATCAATTCCAGTGGCTCTGTGTGCCATTCTTTACGGTGGTTGACTGATATACTTATGTCTTCGAATTTGTAATTAGTGTATAAAATAAATCATTAAAAAAGTTTTTATCTTTGGGTGAATTAGTTCTTTATATAATATCAGAGCTTTGTGTTCTGGGTTCGATTTTCGTCGCCCCCTATTTTCTTTGTAGAATTTCTTAGCATAGATAGATTGAGTCTGGTGCATCATCCACTTTTCAAATTTTATGAGCTCTCTTATGAGGGGACTTATTAGAGTATAAAATAAATCTTTAAAGAGGGGTTTCAGAATTTTTTTAGTTATAAACCACCAGGTTTCCAAAACCTATTGTTGAGATCAAATTTGCACATTCCATACTGTATTTTTGTGAAAGTAAGATACCAAGTTTGTATTACTCATTTGATATAGTGTACGAATCCTTAATATTGACAAACTCAGAATCAGAAGGGTGCTTTTATATAATAATATAATGTCATAATTTATAATAAAATGAAATTTTGCATTTTCCACCATTAGGCATTGTTAGACTGGCCGGATATTTTAATGTCTGATGGTAATTTATGTTAAGTTCGTGATCAGAATTTATCGCCATAGTATATAGCAGATATTTTGAAGACCTTGTTTTTGGTTAATTTGCTTGGCCATGGCCTATCAATGTCATTTTCATTTATATGCTATATGTTACTTATTTTGCTATTACCTGTAAATATAATGAGTAATTAAATATTAAATTCAAGGCATGGTGAACCTTTGTTCAATTTTTGTCATCAGTATCTGCAATGCCCATTCTTGTGTTGATAAAGAAAAAGCTCTCGGTTGTGCATATCTCTTTTCTACGATATCAGTTGTGCATATCTCTTATTAACTCGTGCAATTGTAAGTTTGGTCAAAATGATAAATATGTAGTTTCCAAAAAAAAATGATAAATATGTAATTAAGATCAATATGCTAGAATTCATAGTAAATAATATTTTTTAATAGTAAAAAAGAGAAATAGTAAATATAACTTCTTTCTTATAATAAATATTTTAATAATCTGATATGTAAAATTTTTTTTTTTTTTTTTGATAACATATGTAAAATTTTTTTATATAAACTAAAATTGGAGCCTGTTCCGCTAGCCAATTTCGATGTCTTACGAATAGCTTCCTACAACATATCAGACACCTCAAAACTTAGTCCTCCAAATTCTTTTTTTCTTTTTCGAAAAAAAAAATGAACAGATTAAAATAAATAAAAAATAAAAAAATGAACAGAAATATTCAAAGATGGCGAGGTCTATTCGACACTCTGTCTTCCCGGGGAATTCAACCACTGCCGGAAATTCTGCCTCGCCGCCACCGCCGCTTGCAGAGACCTAACTTTCGTGCGACCCTATTAAAGAAGCTGTATAAACACGTCAAACGGAAAAAGGACAGAGAAAATAAAAACAAAACAAAAGAGAATAATGATATAACAATATTTACACTATTACCACTAATGAGAATAGCTATTCTTGCTTGTTTTGAGAATAAAAAACTGAAAAGGAAAATCAAAACAACGTTTAGGTGTTTCCTAATTTTTATTTTAAAAATTGAAATTCAGTTACTGTTTTAAATTTTTCTTTTACAAAAATAACTTTGGGAAACAGTTTTTTTTTTTAAATTAAAAAATTGTTTTACGGTAAGATATTGTAACAATCAATTAATGTTGTTACTAATGTTACTAGTTACTACCAATCAATTTCATCGTATATTTAATTTCGCATTAAATATGAGAAATCATAACCATATAAAGATGAAAATAAATATAAAGTATTAAATATTGAAAATTATAACCACATAAAAATAGAAATAAATATAATAATTGAATCAACATAATCGATCTAACAATAAGATTAATTGATAATAATATTAATAATATTATTTCCTATTACAAAATAGGTCCTCTAAGTTGCAATAATAATTCTCAAGAGCCCAAGAAACGTCTCTTTGTGTTTGGGCTTTAAATAGGTCTGTTCTGATATTTTCTGGATATATACCCTGTCACCGGCCGACATTTTAACCAATTACAAAAAGCCTTAAGTCCTTGTCCGCCGTTTTAATGTAACCGTCATGAAATTTCTTGTACCTAAACTTTTAATAATCTACTTTATTTCCGGTCAAATTTTATTTGCGATATATGATGGTTGGAAATGGATGTTGTCATGTGTAACTTAATATAATTAAGTCATTAGGCAGATCTTTTTCTCACTTTTTTATCTGTAAATAATTAAAATTCTCTCACATAATTTCATCATATTAAATTATACATAAGATGATCTATTTCCATGATTCTTTTTTTTTTTTGTAGACATTTCCATAATTCTTATTAGGAGTAAGTTTCATTGTTTTTTGTGAGATAAAATTAATATATTATAATTAAAATGAATCTTTTACGGTAATTTATAGTTATGAAATATTTTGTTAGGAAGAAATAATTTTCTACGGTGTGACTTGGAGTGATATTCTTAATTGTAGCTAATTTTAAATACTCTATTATAAATTTTTGAATTTTTTTAAAGAAAAGCTTCAAACAACTCTATTTTTTATTTTTAGACAGTAACTAAAAACGACAAAAGATAATTAAATAATATAAGGGTTTAATTTATTTACAACA